ATTTTAATTGCAAATTGTCTCATTGCATTGGCAAAATGCCTCAATTATCTAATGAATTCAAGAACAATACACTTATTTTAAGAAAAATTGACTTATTTATATTTCAGTTAATTGTCTGTTCAATCAATATTCCCACCTGAGCTGTGGGAATCTGCACCGGTCAAGGGTCACTCTGCTGACCTTTGATGAGGTGCAGATTCCTCTTTGCCTCACCTGTCAGTTAAAGATGCTTTGAACAGGTCTCTGTAAGATGTTGCTATATAAAAAAACCCTCTTTTAAAATTTTGACCACTTTGTCTTTTAATGATCTTATTTTAAACCATCAGAGTAATTTCAGCCAAACAAATCAATCCATCGACTAAAGACACAAATATGACTAAAACCAAATCAGTGGCCATGAAGAGGTAGCAATGCACTGCAAAAAAATTGAAATCTAAATAAGAGATTTTTTCTTGCAATAAGGCATTTTTTTCTTGCATTGAGGGGGTAATTGAGACACTTTGCCAATGGATCAAGACTATTTACATTTAAAATGAGAAAACACAATTGCATTGTCTTATTTCAAGTGCATATTATCTAATTATCTTATTTTAAGAGTAACAATACTCATTCCATTGGCAAATTATCTTATTTACCTACTCAAATTCATGGTAAATACACTTAATTTAAGACATTTTTCTCATTTTTAGATGGTTTTTGCAGTGTGTATGAGACACTCTTTCTTGTTGTACTGATGTTTAAATTATATAAAATCATTTAAAGCCCATAAAAGTCAACTTAACTGAGTTTTGAGTGTTTTGCTGTTTTGATTTATAAGCCATTACCTTTAAGCACCATCTGTGTCTTATTTGTTCTTACCAATGCTTCACTGAGGTCCTTGCTGCTCCAGGCAATAGATGAGGCTGTTGTTAGAATAATAAGAACCATAACCTCCAGTCTGCAGTCCATGGTTTGCTTTCCCATCACTAATATAAAAGGAAAAAAAACATGCAAAAATAAAGCAAGCTATCAGTTTTAGATATTGTATTAATGCTCTATCATTCTGACTATAGCCACAGTCATCCTCTGTAAATCAGGCCTTTTACATCTGTGCTGGAGCTGGTTAGTTTGGGAACGGGGGTTTTTATACTGTGTATTTGTTCCGGACATGCCTACAAACCACACAATAAAACCTTGACAAGGAATGTGACATGTGGAGCATAGAAAAGAAACGGCTCATTTCAGACACTAACTGCATGAACACGGCTTTGCACACCATCATTTTGAGCCCCTTGAAATGTGTAAAAATAAACCCGCCACAGACATGTCTGCTTCAAAGAGACAAAATGAATTTTAGTTTCCTGCCAGAAATGAAAGATGCTGAATATGAACAGATATAGATCTACATTGAAGACTGTTGACTGTGAACCTGCATGGTTGCGTAAATTAGTTTCATATTTGCATGTTTTTAATGTTTTCTTTCACCATAGAATCAGATTTTATTTTTGTTTGCTTCATGGTTTAAAGTTGTCAAAAAACAAGTGACCATGTATCCCCCTGAGGGACAATATGGCCGGCCTGTTGTTTTGTTTCTTCATGTCGGAGCGCATTCAAGAAAAACCAGCGACGCCTACAAGTAACCATTGCAACAAATCAGTGTCACAGGATGTCTCCTTTTGCTTCAAGGGTTATTGAGCAACAATGGTGCAAAAAATCTGTGAGAAGAGATTCACATCTGTTTTGTCTGACACTCTTTATAAGGGAGGTTGATGTTAAAGGAATAGTACACCCAAAACATGATTAGCCTTCATTTTCTACTCACCCCCATGCTGAACAACACTCTGGAGTACTTTTTTGATATCT